GATACAAAGTGGATATCGACCGCCGTGAATATTTTGTGAATGCACAAACTACGGTAATTGAGTGTATAAAAAAAGTTGACACGGACGACGACAGAAAACCACTCGTATCATAAGCTCCACTTGACAAAGTTGACAGCAGAGCTAATAAAAAGACAAAATATTGTAAATACAAATATAATTTTATTTACTAAAATGATACATCTCCACATGACAAACAAAGTTTGGTTAGAAAAGGTGAAAGGTCAAATGATGAAGAGATGCAGTCTCTCTTCATTATTTCAATATATAATGAATTCTAGCTCCAAATATGATAATAAAGTCTGCTATTCAAATAGAAAGTTATTTCAAAGTCAGAAGAGTTTTAAAAAATAGGCCAATTAGCCCGTCGCCTAACAGTTTTTGCTTCAACAAAATTTCAATACATTTGGAAGAAGGGTAGTGTATAATATGAGTTTATTACGAGGATATCGAAATATCAGTTGCATAGTTATTAAACATCTTTTCATGGGAATACCGAAATACAAAAAGTTTAGAACAGATTGAGCGAACTTCTTTGTATGGGGTTGGGTCAAACCCTGGGGGCTGCCATGTTTGTTTTTATTATTAAGAGGATGCTTATGAGCGTAATCGTTACATATTTTGAATTTTCATTTCCTAATACGGTAGGATGAAAATACCCCGTGAAATACTGCAAAATTACGGCACAATGTAACTTATTTTAAGTTTTTTTTACCAATTATGACAAAAATATTCGATAAAAATATTCTAATTGAAGATATCGTCATGAAATGCCCAAATCTGACAGAGATTCACCCAAAGAACCTACATACTGAGTACCAAAGCAATTGAGCTGGTAGTTTTCAAGAAGTCATCGAAAATATCATTTGTTACTAAAAATGACAATATTGCTAAATACAGAATATTGAAAGTATTTTCTTGAAATGAACAAATCTGACATCCACTGTAGTAGCTAATTGCATAATTGTTGCCGGATAAACATATGAGCATCTGTCCAGACATCTATTGAGACATCCAGTCTGTTGAGCTAAAAACCTTATATTTTTTAAAATTATTAATGTGACTGGTTATAAATATGCAATAATTTTTTTTTAAATGGTTAAATCGATTAGGATCACCACCAATATGATGTTAGCATATCAATATCATATTGTGATATAATAAAAATGCAGATACTTCAGAAGCATAAAACTTCAAATATTTAGTAAAAACAAGATATAACAATATTTTCAATAAAAACATGATACAAAATGTATATGTTATTGCCATGATTGAAAAAAATTTAAATATTTACACACGATTATTATAATACATTAAAACCTGAAATGTTATTCTGGGTTATATTAAAGGTACCATTTCTAGTTTCACCCACTAAATTAGAGATTTTACCCTAATTGTATAATGAAATGATCCACCATATAATGGCCAAGATATAGTGTAGACTGTAAAACCATTTATTTTCACTGACATTTAATTTCACTATTTTGATGTTTTAAGTATATTAACTGTGTTTTAATTTCATGAATTTGCCATAAAAACAATGAGTTTTATTGTTATTTTAATTTAATCTTACTTATCAGTGAAAATAGCGAAATTAAAACTTAGTGAATAATTAATGCATTTACAGTAATCAGTGGGAGGGTTGTCATTTGTCATTTAGCCTTATAGTATGCGACAATGAAAGTTGAGTTATGCAAAATAGAAACACTGTCTGAATATCCTTTGTTTTACTGGAATTATAATACCAGTTGTCTTTAAAAATCTTATGTAGAAGCCATGTGTCTCATTTTATACAGAATACTGATTTTTTTTCCAGTTTTTAATTTGGCTGTTAGTATACCCTCTGAAGAAATAAAAATTTAGCCTTAAGTATCACCACATGAGCTCTGATGAAATCATAAAATAAAAATAAAAAAAACAAATTTGTTTGAAAAATCAATCATTCAGCCAAACCCTTTAGATTGTTATTGAGATTCAGTAACCCTGATGAGTGTCTTAGGTTAAAACATATCGCTACTTGCACTTTTCATCTTGAACCATGCATTCGCCTGCGTATCTGACACAGCTTTGTGACGTAATGTCTGCAAAACAAGCAAAAAATTATACAGTAAATTATTCTGCATTGACAAATCAAACCTCAATGTTGTAGTTTGTTAGCGCCATCTAGTGACAAAAAGCTTCTATGTATAAAAATTACAAAGCAGCTACACAGAATTCTTGTATGTGGACTTGCTTACAATTTGAAGTCTAATCGCTTGTTTTTTTGAAAAACATGACTAAAATTACATGTATACAACATAGTTATTTCCATTACCATAGTTTGTTTCAATATGAATATGCATTGTCATAATTAATTTTGAATACAAACAAGTTTTAGAATTGAAACAGCAGTGAGAAAGCAGACTACCAGGACCTTTGATTGATGTAAATATCTTACAAAAACATTGGTGCCTAATTTGTTTAAGGGACATAACTTCCAGTTTCCAAAGTCATTCAGATATTTTTGTATAAACAAGTCATTGTCAATGACACGTCCCCGTTCCGTTCATATTTGAGTGACATATACATTCAAAGCAGATCATGACCGAAATGCACCTGCATATGTACAACACATTGTGCTAAATCTGAACAAAATCCATCCATGCATAACTGAGATACGGGTCCGGAATGGTGAAAATGTGCCATTTCAATGCATTTTCGGCCTTAAAGCGGCCCCCATTTGGCTATCGTTAATGAGATCATGAAACAAATGCACATACATATTTGTGACATGATGTACCTTGTGTGTGTGAAGTTTGAACTTGATCAATCCAGACATGTCTCGGATACGGATCAAGAACTGAATTCTTTAAAACAAAATGGCCGCCAGTCGGCTATTTCGAACTTGATCCGAAAAAAAAATGACGTGCATCAAGGTCCTATTATGTTTAATGTATGTACCAAATTTGAATGAAATCCGTCCATGCATAACTGAGATCCGGGTCCGGAATGGTGAAAATGTGCGATTTCAATGCATTTTCGGCCTTAAGGTAGCGAGAAGGGAAATTTTCACTTTTTTCTTGATTTTTCAAAAATTGATAAAACGGTTACTTTAGACCTCGATACATCACCCCAGGTTTACAAAAGATCGAAATTGCGAAATAACGTTGCTCAAATTAGTGTTTTAAAACACTAGCAGAAAAGACTACAACTGCCGTTTCGTGGATATTTGCATAGTGTTTATCTTTGGAAGGAATTAAATGATAACATCTTATCTGTATACTCTGTTGTTGACGATTCTGATATAACGGGTGATAAGCTTCCAGTTGCAAACAATGCGTGTTTATCTAACGTCCATTGTCAGCATAATTGTCAGTCGAGAGTTCGTCTGAGAAACATGGTCATACAGTACTCATTTCGCCCAACCTTCCGCTTTTACATCGACCGCTTATCGCTTAATTTCCGACCACGCGGT